TGTTCGAACTCATGAAAGAAGATGTTTCTGCACTCTAAAAAATGAAGAGTTGAATTTACTCAACAAAGTCATGTCAACTGGCTCCATTAAGCCTAGATGAGTAAATTGAGCAAAAAAAATATACATATGTTGCACAATTTACTCAACCTGACTTAGTGGGGCAGCTGTGGTAGAGTGGTTAGGGGAGTCGACCTGGAACCGGAAGGTTGCCGGTTCGATTCCCATCCAGTCGACCCAGTCATTGTGTCCTTGGGAAAGACACCTTACCCATCTTGCCTACTGATGGTGGTCAGAGGGTCCGGTGGCGCCTGTGTATGGCAGCCTTGCCTCTGTCAGTGCGCCCCAGGGCAGCTGTGGCTACAATTGTAGTTTGCCATCATCAGTGTGTGAATGTGTGTGTGCATGGGTGAATGTCTGCAGTGTAAATCGCTTTGAGTGTCCCTGATGGATAGAAAGGTGCTATATAAGTACAGTCCATTTACCATAGTGGAACCAGTTTGGTTCAGAAAATTCATCAGTTTATTTCTGAGAGAGTGTGTAAAAGTACTTTTACTTTCCCAATTTTTGTGAACAGTTTTATGACTTTTACTTGAGTAGTTTTCTCATTAGTGAAATTAATTTTTACCAAAGTCATTTTCTGTTCATGTAATTTTACTTTTACATTTTTTTTCAAGTACTTTATAGACAGTTGTTTGAATTTGTGTGCTGTGACTTCAAATATATAAACAAAAAATGCAAGAATCTTTCACGTGGAGAACATTTGGTGAAAGGAATCATGACTAGTTCAGAAAAATCTTCATCATTCAGAGTTTAAATGAGTCCCAGAAAGGTGGACTTAACATGACAGAGCTGCCTCTGATGTCTTTCACCACTTTTAAACAGTCACAGTTTTCATTTTTTTATGATTTCGGTACAAAATCTTAAACATGCAATGTGATGATGTCACAGTAGCTTTTGAACCATTTAAACTGTCCAACATTCTAGTAAAAACATTGTTTTTATTTTTTTCAAACTTGTATTTTTTATGCAGTCTTATATTTATGTATATATATCAGCTTTGTGAGCTGGATAATTTGAAAAATAACAATGTGCCAACATCCATCTGTGTGTGTGGCTGCTTCAAGGTGTAAAAAAGGTAAAATAAAAAGAATGGAGCTGCAAAATCCAACATGGCCACCACCTTATAGTTCAATGTGTTTGTAAACCAGTCTGTTAAGAAATATTTAGCAGGAGATGTTTATTCATGCTTTTATTTTAAACACGGTGTTATATTTTGCAGATTAACAGGCGGACTGACGGTCGTGGAGATAGAGAGCACCTGTAGTGCAAAGCAGGAGGAAATGAGGACAGGAGAACTTATTTCTAGTAGCTGAGCAGGTTGGAAAATGGTTATTTCAGATGTTTTTTTAAACATCCTACAGGCTCTGACATTAAATAAATCTGAAACTGAGTTTTAGAAGAAGTCAGAAAATCTTGAAAAAATCTGTGAGACTGCTCTGTATGTCCGTAAACCTGCAGAATGAGGGGAAATGTGTGAAAATTACAGACAATCAAATCAACTTGGCATGTATGTAATCCTCAACTCAGCCACTCTGGTCATTTTACAAATTTTTTGCTCCTTAGTTTGTATATTGTTTAAAAAGTATAGTTTTCCTCTAACRATCAGAGCCAAAAATGAATCTATGGTGGTCAAAGCCATTACTGGCCACCCCCTGGTTCCACCACTGCACCTGTGGTGGATAAAATTGATCCCTCCTCTCACCAGGTAACTGTACCTTTAAGTACTCTGTTTGAATATCTTGCACCAAAAGATATGTTTTCTTGAATTCTTTTTTCAAGTCCAGTCCAGACAAATCCTACAAACACTCACTATTCTAATTCTGCAACATCAGTGAACCATTTTTCTTCAGCTCAAACCTCCTTCACATTGAGASAGTAATGAGGTTGATCTTCATTTTATTCAGACCCTTTTGTAAAAATTGTTGGAGGTAGCTTGCTGCAGGTCAGATTTGGAGATGTACAGTATTTCAGTTGGCTGACATAAAGCAGAGCAATGTCTGATTAAATCACCACCTGTAGACTGAGCTGAAAGCCTTCTCCAAAGCTGTGGTCAGAAACGGTTGAAAACAGAGAAATGAGCAGATAGAGCCGAGCGAAGCACGAAGGCACAAGTCTGGCTTTGTTTWTGTTTATGTGAAGCGGCTGGACTAAGGTTTTGCGGGAGAACCTTTATTTTGACACGGTTTGGAGATTTTATTTTTTATTTTTTTAGAAAGTTTTCAGCTTTAAGGAGTCTTCTTAAATTTGTTGATTTAAGGCTAAGGTGAGTACAACTTACATTGTTTAAACTGTTCTTTTGCAAATAATGAACTAATTGTTTTTAATTTAAKGGCAGAATTTTAACAAATTAACTGACAAATTTGGGAAAACATTTAATTTCAGTGTTTTAATGAACTCTAAATCAAAGGTCTGAGTCAGGAAACAACTGGTCTTCCTCCATATCTGTCCTGAAAAAGTCATCAGGACAGAAAAAAAAA